GGTGAGAAGGATCTATGAACATCCAGCTGGTCCCTTGCCCACCTTGGGATCATCGGAGAGACCCCCTGTGCGCACGTACCCCCGACATTTCTGGACCCCGACGTCATGATTTGTGTACGACGTCGACCCCCAGAAGTCTCAACCCCTTTCTCTAGACCGGCTTCTCATCCCGAGTCGTTCCTTGACGGCCACGAGGGCCAGCGAGGGCCCCCCAGAGGCTGAAAACGGCTGAACAAAAACCTCCCGTCGTGATTTGTTCATGACGCGAGGGGAGCCGGGAGCCCCCCTCTGCGTACGTACCCCGACGTGGGGCGAGGGATGGGAACGAGGAGCTGTGACACCACCGCCAGCGCGGGGAGCCACGGGTGGGCTCCTGGTGGCGTGCTCTCGCTCTCACACCCGCTCGAGACGTCTCCGATCCGCAGCTCGGGGGCTCGTCGTGAGCCTCCTCGCTGGGCCAGACCCCAGACGTCATGATTATTGTTGCTGACGTCGAACCCCAGGGTCTCGATCCCTTCCCCGGGACCGGTTTTTCACCCTGAGTTGTTTTGTAAAGGTCATGGGACCCTTTATAAGAGCCCATGGAGACCGAAAATACCGAAAGACCTACCGTCGTGATTTGTTTCACCACGCGCGGGGGTCGGGGGAGGTGGCCCCCCTGCTGGTGGCGGTGTCGCTCATCTTTCCACCGAGAGGGAGGGGTCTCTTGGGACCTCGACTCGCGGTAGTGCCCGCTACCAAGGCCGCTCCCCGGTGACGTCCCGCTTCGCGCTGGCGCCGTTTTGGGGAATCTATACGTGCAGCTCGTTTCCCAGACGACGCCAGCGCAGATGGCGTTACCAGACCCTCCCCCCTTGCCCCCCCACCACCACCCCTCTCGGAACAAGGTGCTTCTCAGAATTCTCCATTAAAAACAAAACAAAAACACCCTCATAATCAGCTCCCGATATGCGAACCCGCTCAAGAAAGACACCGAACAGGGCAAGCGCGTTAGGAAACACCCAGGGCCGTTTGGTGCACGCCAATTACGGGGATCGGGGTGGTGTTTCCTCCCTTGACAGAAGCCGCGGCCCCTGATAATCAGCACCCTTCCTGCCTGCTTAGAACACCGCGCCCCTCTCTCGTTACCCCCGACCAGAACCCCATCAACAACTGCCTCCAGGCCATCCCCGGGGCCCCTCACGGCTTTGGAATACGTCAAGCCGTCACGGGCGCCAGGAGCTTCAAAAAGCCTCAACTAATCTCCACTGGGGATTGTCAACACCAAAGCCGACGGCAACATCAATGATGACACGACGACTACGACGACGACGACGACGACAACAACGACCTCGAAGACGACGGCGCCGCTGACGACAACGGCGACGACGACATCGAAGACGACAGCGACTGCGGCGACCCCTGAGAACCTCTGGGAGCTGCTGCCAGCCCGCTGAGACCCTCCGAAGAACCTCCCAGAACCGTCGAAAACTTGGAAAACCATGGGCAACCTTCAAAAACCGCCAGGCACCCCCGAAGACTGCCGAATTGACTGCCCTGACAACGGCGGCAGCGACAACGACGCGCGCTGACAGTCGCCTGCCGCGCCGCCCGCGACCGCGCCGGCCTCGCCCACCGGCGGCCCGCCGAAGCACTGAGCGTCAGCGCCGCCACCAGCCCGCCCGGCCAGAGCGGCGACCCCCCTGGCGCTGGGACCTCCCAGGCGCGGCGAACCGCCGCCCCCGCAAACGCGCAGCCGCTGCCGCCGTCCGCCCACGGTGCCGCCAACGTCACCGCACGCCGCCGACCGTCGCCGCCGCCCGCCCCGCGCCGCCCGTCGCCGCCGCCGCCGTCGTCCGCCGCCCCCGCCGTCCTCGCCGCCGCCGCCGCCGCCAGCGCCGCCGTCGTCAGCGGCAGCGTCGCCGCCGCCGCCGCCAACGGTGCCCTCGTCGGCGGCAGCGCCGCGGATCGTCGGCAGCGCCCGCCTGGCCTTCGGGGCGCAGCCCAGCGCCGCCGCGGAGGCGGCGCGGCCTCCGCCGCCGGAGCGCCCCGGGCGAGCCGCCGCCCGCGGGTGCGGCAGCGCAGGCTGGCTCGACAGGGCCGCCAGCGCGGCGGCCATCATCGCGGCGCGCGCGGGGGGCGCGGGCGCGGCCCGCGGGCGCGTCGGGAGGGTGGCCGGCGTTTGCGGTAGGGTTCGCGTCTGAGCCCGCTCGGCGTCCGAGCCCCTGAGTCGTTCTTTGGCGGTCCCGCGGCCCGGCGAGGGCCCCCAGAGGCCGACAACAGCGGACAAAAACTCCCGTCGTGATTCTGTTCATGACTCGGGGGGGCCTGGGGTTCCCACCGTGGCGACCTGCGCGCTGCTCCCTGACACCGCGCGGATGACGTTCAACCCTGCGCGATTGCAGTTCCGCGGTGACTTGGGGCCGCTCTGATGGGCGTGTTCTCCACCACCACCACCATTAGCTGGAGCGGGAGGGGGTCCTCCTCCTCCTCCTCCTCCTCCTCCTCCTCCTCCTCCTCCTCCTCCTCCTCCTCCTCCTCCTCCTCCTCCTCCTCCTCCCCCTCCCCCTCCTCCTCCCACTATGGCGGTGGTGTATATGATGGAAAAAACAAGCCCAGCACGCTCGGTGTCGGCGGATTCTGGGCCCCCTGGCGGCCTCATCTCAGGATGGAACGCCCGCGCCCCCGGGATGGGACCGAAACCGACGGACCTGGACCTGCAAAATTGACTGGCTGCGACGCTCTCTCGCGAACCAAAAACGGCCAATTCGCTAATCGACGTGTCAGGACAGGAGGTCTATCAACCTCAGATATTCGGCGCTTCGACACTTGGCGGAAAAGGGAGAGGGGAGGGGGGGGTCTGGCACCGGACCTCTGCTTCGTGCGACTGCTTGCAGCAGTGCGTCCTGGGGGAGGGGACTCCACCTGCCTGAACCAGGCGCCAAGAGCAGCCAAGATCTATTTCCTCTACACGGACGGGGGGGGGGGGGCGGGGGCGCGCGCCGATCGGCAAAACAAGGACTAAGACAACGATCACCTGGCGACTCAGAGCCGGGCGCTCTCGCTCCACTCCGGGCCCCGGGGCCCTTCCGCAGATCCATCCGGCTCGGGAATACGGCGCAGATATATGGGGTCCCCGGGGGTCGGGCCGCGATCTTGCGCGCCGGCGCATGTTCTGCCACGTCGGGCCTCGGGGCTACGTCGACCCAGGGCCACAACCCGATGCTGCTGGGGCCCGGCGGCGGGCCCGGAGGGAGGCCGGCATCGGCAAGACCACAACAGAAGCACGCCGAGATGAGACACGTTCTGCTGGCCAGGCGGCCGCCAGAGTCAGGTCGGGCATGTCCCCCTACAGGTGGATGTGGGACGCCAAGTAGAAACTAGTCAGAGAGAACATGCCCACACATAGTCAAAAAGTACTTGAGAAATCGGTCCTGGGCAAGCTTTTGACGATGTTTGAACACATCCCCTGTAGAGGGACAGGCCTGACTGAACGCCAGACCCTGAGATCCGACGTTGCAAAAACAGGCCACGTCGCAAAACAAATCACGCCCAGAGCACCGGACCGCATCTTTCTGCGTCACTGCTCGAGCCGGATCGAGCTGTGAGGGTCCCGTGGAGCCCGAAACTTTTTGGAGAAGGGGGAGGAGGGACAGGGGGGAGAGCGGACCATCGATGAGCACCGCACCACCACGTGCGTCCTCTCGGTGGCAAACTGGGGCTCAAACCTGACTACCTACCAGACCACCCCAACCCAACCCGAAGACCCCGATTTCGGGTTGGGGGGGGGTACGGGTTTCAGATGTGTGTTCTCAGTGTTCCCCGCGACCCCCCCCTTCTGGAACTGGAGGGCAAATGGAGGCCTTCGGGTTGGCTTGGGGTGGTTTGGTGGGTGGTGACCACCCAAGCACACAGCCCCGCGGGGCCCGAGACCCCCGCGTTGCGAAAAAGTTGCAGCGCCGGGATCTCTGGGCGAGGGACAGGCCCGACTCGACGCCAGCGGGGAGGAGGAGGAGCAGGAGGAGGAGGAGGAGTAGGGGAGAGGGGGAGGAGAGGAGGGAGGGAGGAGGAGGAGAGGAGGGGGGAGGGAGGATGGAGGAGAGGGAGGAGGAGGAGGAGGAGGAGGTAGCGCCAGGATCTCGGGGCGAGGGACGGGCCCGACTCGACGCCAGCAGGGGGGTCCGACGGCGGTCGAGCAGCGGCGGGGCGCGCCGCTGGAGGCACCGCGAGGGGGCAGCAGCGGGAGGAGGAGGAGGCTTGGGGAGCCCACGAGGGACCCTCCTCCTCAAAGGACCCTCCTCCTCCTCCCCCCCTCCTCCTCCTCCCCTCCTCCTCTGCTCCTCCCCCTCCTCCTCCTCCTCCTCCTCCTCCTCCTCCTCCTCCTCTCTCCTTCTCCTCCCTCCTCCTCCTCCTCCTCGTACGCGGCCAGCTATGCACATGAACGTACGGCCCCCCGATCTGCGAGCTGCCGCAGCAGACGAAGATTTGCGCAGCGCGTGCCCTCGACACCAGCGTGGACTCATGTACGTGTGTGTCCTGCTTTCGGGCTTCGGGTTTCGGGTTTTTTCGGGTTTCGTTTCGGTTTCGGCTTCGGCTTCGGGTTTTTCGGGGTTCGGCTCGGTTTCGGTTTCGCGCCTGGGAGGGGGCGCGCCGAGGCGCAGCGCCCTCGAGGGGGCTCGGAGAGGGGGGCGGGCGGGGCGGCGCCGTCCAGCAGCGAGGGGGCCAGCGCGCCGGCTCTGGCTCCTCGCGGGCGCCGGGGCCGCGCGGCGCGGCTCCGCGAGCACGCACCGCGCAAGCCCAGAGCCCCAGACCTCCTCGAGCCATGGAAAAGCACGCGGAAGGTTTTGCGCGATGGTCGCCCCTGGGCCCTGTACCGGGCCTCGGGCGTGACACCACGGCCCAGGAGGAAAGCTGGTCCCAGGGGAAGGGGTCCAGACCTCCGGGTCGACGTCGTGAAAAAATCATGACGTCAGGGGTCTGGGCATGCTCGCGTCGTACAAAACAAAAATCGGGGCGGGGGTGTGTCGCCGCTTGCTGCCTCCGGAGAGGCCCTCGCCGGGGCCCCTAGGACCGTGGAAACGAAAACGACGCCGGGCGAAACGCCGGCCCCAGGGAACGGGTCGGGACGTCCGGGGACATTGCAGGGAAAGAATCAGGACGTCGCATGTCTGGGAGAGGGGTCCAGCTGAAAGGGGGTGGTGCGATGGGCTCGGAGCAACTGTATTGCAAGTTCTTCAGAGCTGTGCTGCATCGTGTTGCAACTGACGTGGTGCACGCAGAAGCCCAGCAATACATGTGCGCACCAGAATGTATTACAGGCCCCAAATCTAATCCACCCCAGAACTCTATTGCACAACATCTATTGCACCACCCCCACTTCCCTGCACCCCTCTTTGGGTCAACCAGCGTGAAGGGGCGACCTTCAATCCCCTCGGCCAATTCGCTTGGTAATGGGGTCAGACTACTGGGGGTCAGAGTCAGCAAAGGGCAAGCTAAGGAAAACTGATCTTCTGAGAAGAGTACGGGTTTGGGCCAAGTATGTCCAAAGGAATTGCCAAGGAAAAAGCAAGGAAAACATCGCAGTTAATAAACATACGACACCAAATGAGACAAATCAGCGAAATCGAGCTCACATTTTCCTGAACCTCAAAAGGCTGACCCCCAGTAACAGGCGAAGGATCGGCAACCCTCCGATCCTGGCGTTGCAACTCTTCCCCCAACGGGGTGGCAACTCGCGGGGGCCTCCCGTACCATCTTGCTGGCTCGTTCGAATAGACGCTGACCGACGCTGGCCGACGCTCGACGCTGAATCGGCGCTGATCGACGTTGCACCGGCGCTTGTCGTGGACTAGCCAGGGGCCAACGCACGCGAATGCGTTCCAAAGACGGAGTTACCAGGCCTCACGAAGCTCTCCCCAGACCCCCGACGGCAGGATTTCTTCACGACGCCAACCCGCAGAGGTCTCGACCCCTTCCCCCGGATCGGCGTCTCAGCCAGAGTCATCTTGCTCACGGTCCCGAAGCCCGATGAGGGCCACCAAAGGCAGAAACTGGCGAAGAACCTCCCGTCGTGCTTTTTTCATGACTCGAGGGGTCTGGGTCATGAGCTGCTGCCGAAACCCCCCTCCCTTCGGCAGCATGCGCTGCTCCGCACCGCCCGCGAGCACACCGGCCGTCGGCGCCCGAGGCTGCCCGAGCGCTCCTCGTGACGCGGGACTCTCCACGGCGCCGGCCTTCCCACCCGGGCACTGCCCCCCTGCTGCGGACGCCAGGCTCTTGTCCAACCGCCTTCGTGCTTCAGGAGGGGAGCAACACACAGACACCAGGAATCGCCAACCCCCAGGAGCATAGCTACAGGACAAGATGGGGGGAAGTGGGAGGGGAGACGAACACCCAGAAACTATGGGAGAGTATGGGGGATCCTGGACTGTGTGTCAGTTGATTTGCGTGTCTCTGGGCCCCTTTACTCGGCGGCGAGCGAGGGGGGGAAATGAAAAGGAGATGGCCTTCTCAGAAGGCGGCCGGACTTCTCAGCAGCCTCGCGCCTCCTGAGAAATGTTTGTTGTCTCGTCGGGGAAGGCTTAGAAAACATCTCAGGAAGGCCGTTGGACTTCCGAGCCTTCTGTCCCAGACCCCCGACGTCATGATTTTTTCATGACGTCGACCCTCAAAAAGCTCTCGACCGATTCCCGGGGGCTGGTTTTTCATCCCGAGTCGCTTTTTCACGGTCCCGGGGCCTGGCGAGGGGCTCCAGAGACCGAACGTTGCGCAACACCTCCCGCCGTGATTTTTCCATGACCCGTGGGGGTCTGGAGCCTTCTCCTTCTCGCTTCCCCCCCCTCCCCTGCCGCCGACGTATAAGTGTGTCCACGGCCGGGCGCGGCCTCCCGGCGACTCGAGCGCGACCGCGCCCGCCCTCGCTGTCGAAACGGACAGCTCCGGGCGACGCCATTTGAAGGGGCACTGGGCCACACACACACATCTATGGACACGAAAAGCCAGATTCCCAACATTTCCGCATTTTTTTCGGGGCTTCTGTCTTCCCCCCTACTTCCTATATTTTCCCATGTTTTCTCGGGAGTCGGAGATGAATTGTGGGTGAGTGTTTTTCCCCTCCTGACCATTGGAGGGCAGCGTCGGGGGGGCGAGCCCGCTCCAGGGGAGGGGGGGTCCAGCCCAAAGGTGGGGGGACCCCGAGGGGGGCGGGGGCAAGAGTTCGATCCGCTGGTGCCTCGAAGTTCCGGGAGACGATGCCCCCCCCCCGCGCGCCCCGGTCGTCGACGCCTCTCGGGGTCGGGCGGCGGCCCAGGGGCCTCGCTATTGCATCGTTTGTGGGCGGTTCGGTGCGCCAACAGACCGAACTCACCCCGCCTCCCTGTGGCACCCCCACCCCTTTGCGAGGTCCCGATCAAGGGGGGGGGGGGCGGGAGGGCATCGAGCTTCTTTTGAATCGGCGACGCATTGCCGGTGGATCGGCGCAAGGCCCACGGAGTAGCGAATCCGCGCGTCCCTCCTGGGCGGGGTGGGCTATCAAGCTCCCGTCGGCGATCAGTGGGCGGTTGGGGGTCGTTGCACCCCCCCCTAAAGTTGTAGTGGTAGGAAATCCGCCCCCGGACGCTACTTTGACTACGAAGTGCCCGACTTAACGCTAACGTTTTCCTTGAAGAGCCCCGACTTCGCAGGACACCATGCTGTGGAAGCGACCCGGGAGATCAGAGCAGGCGGGGGCAGGCCGCGCAAACATGCGGACACGCAGCACCCTGCTAAAAACCGAAGACGGCCAAGTCGCTAATCCACTTGGCAGGATGGGGGTCTCTATCAACCTCCGACCTCATGCTTCGGGCGGGGGGCGGCCAATAGGGGGGCGTCCAAGAGGGGGGGCGCAAATCGTGGTCGACGGCATGTGCGCGGCCCAGGGCGGGGGCCAGGGACGTAATGAAATAAGAAAAGGCGCCATGAAATCTAAGGAAATATCATGACCCATGCCATGATATTCACCCCCCCTGGTCATCACCCCCCTGTTGGCCGCCCCCGAAAGTGACCACCTCCTCGCGTCGTGAAGCAACCCCGCTGGAAGGGTTGTCGACGACTTCTGCCTCCCAGGAGCCTCGCCGGGCCCCCCGGGGCCGTCCAAGAACGATCGACGCGGGATGGAAAGCCCGTCCTCTGGAAGGGGTCCAGACCTCTGCGGAGCCGCGTCGTGACAAATCACGGCGTCGGATGCCTGGGGAGGACGAGGAGCTGGGGGCCATCCGTTGTAGACGCCTGCGCGGGTCCTGGCCCAGGATCCGACAGGCCGGCATCGGCGGGGTGGTCGGTTGGCTTCGGCCCCCCGGGGGGTGGGCGGCCGCCGCTGCCGCGGGGTGCCGCCGCCGCTGCCGCCGCCACATCCCCCAGAGCTCCGCGGGCGTGCTCGCTTCCAGCCGGGTGCTCTCTCCTCGATGTCGGCCCGTGCGGGCCGTGTTTGGATCGAGCGCCAGGACCATCAGGAATGAATCAGGGACGGCAGAACCAAAACCTGGGAAGGGGGGTGGACAAACCTGTGGCCCACGGGCTGACACAAGCCCATCGTCTGACGTCTGTCGTCCGTTGACGCCACCCTTGCGAACATAGCTGGCGCCACCATATGCTGCTGCCGCCACCACTGCTGTCACCACATATCCAGCCGTCGTCACTTTCGCACCACTTACTGCCAGGCGTTGCTTATCGCCGTCGCCGTCGTCGTCGTCGTCGTCGTCGTCGTCGGCGTCGGCGTCGGCGTCGGCGTCGGCGTCGGCGTCTTTGTCTGCGTCGTCGTCGTCGGGCAGGCAACTATGGGACGAGGGCAAGGCAAGGCCGCACCACGGCACCACGGGGTCTATCCCCCCCCCCACGGCACCTCAGGGGCTACAGACTTCCCAGGCCCTCTCGCGCTGGGGAAAAAAAGCACGACGGGAGGCCACTCGCCATGCTCGGCCGCCTGGGGGCCCGTATACCAGGCCTCGGGGCCGTCGAGAACGGTCGACTCGGGATGAGACACCGGTCCCCGGGGAAGGGGTCGAGACCTCTGGGGGTCGACGCCATGGAACAAGCATTAAACCTGAGAAAACCCAATCAGTGGATGATTTGAAACTTAGCCAATACTATTGATCTTGACATCGAGTGTGAGATCGTTAGAGAGATATATGGTGGAATCGGTAGTGAGAACGATTGCAAGGTCGATCGTGAGACTGAGAGTGAAATCGATTCAATGAGATAGATAGTGAGATCGATCGCGAGATCACTCATGCGATCTCTAGTGAGATCGCCTGTGAGATCGATAGTGAGATAGATTGTGAGATCGATGGTGAGAACGATAGGGAAATGGGTAATGAGATCGATGGTGAGACCCGATCGATAAGAAGATCGACCAGGAACCAGGGAACCCGGGAACCTCGCCGCCCTCCGAAATCGGCCCGGAACCGGGAACCGGGAACCCAGGAACCCACAACCGGGAACCCGGGAACCCAGCCAGCAACTAAAGTCGACGGAAAACTTTCACCAAATCTTTCAACATCCGCGAGGACCCCTTCAGTGCAAGCACTGATTGAGGAATGACGTCGGCGGTCTGGGTCAACGGGCTGGAAACGACGAGGCCGTTGTTTACCGGTTCCGTTGTGCGCTTTTCTTTCTGGTTCCGACGCCGGTTTTTGTGCCGGTTCCGTCGCCGTTTGTTTCCCGGTTCCAGCTCGGGCTCCCATCCCAGAATCGTTTTTGTTGCCGCTTCCGATCGCCATTTTTCGTCGTCTCCATTTTCAAGAGACGCTGCATCGGAAACGGTGAAACAACAGCCCTGCCGTTTCTGGGGCCCACCCATAGAAGGACGAGGGCAGGACAAGAACGCACTGGTAACGAACACCTCAGGGTGCACGGTTCCCCCGGGGGCCGTAGGCGACCCGAGGAGGAGGAGGAGGAGGAGGAGGAGGAGGAGGAGGGGTAGGAGGAGGAGGAGGAGAGGAGGAGGGTGAGGAAGGAGGAGGAGGCGCCCTCGCTGCGGTCTCCGCCGCGCTGGCGCGGCGCGAACCCGTCGCACAAAGAAAGAGGAGTGTGCAGCGGAGGGGTCCCTCGGCCAGCGGCTTGAGGTGCTCGACCGTCACCCTCGCGCCCTGCATCATGTGCTCGACCTGCTTGGAGGCGTCCTGTCCCGGGACGGCCGCTCCGATGGGAGGGGTCGGCTGCACGCAAAGAGTGGCCACAGGCGAGAGCGACCCTCGGCGAGCCGCATCTCGGGCCGCGGGGGGAGGAGGAGGAGGAGGAGGAGGAGGAGGAGGAGAGGAGGAGGAGGAGGAGGAGGAGGAGGAGGAGGAGGAGGAGGAGGAGGAGGAGGAGGAGGAGGAGGAGGAGGAGGAGAGCCGAGTCCAACCGGCAGGATAGACCTGGGGGGACCCCCGCACTGGAGGGGCCCTGCACTGGAGGGGCCCATGCGCGCCCCACACCGAAGGTCGCTCAGGCCAAGGGTCTCACATGCCTCTGGAGCGCGATGGAGACGATCTGGTCACCCCCTGGCACGCTCAGGCCCAAGGGTCACACTTGCCTCGGGACTCTAGCGGCCGATGGAGACGATCTGGTCACCTCTGGAACGCTCTCGGCGGGGTGCAGCTGCTGGAGCTCATCCCTGGGCAGGAAAACCTCCAGGAGCCCAAGAACAGGTCCGAGAACGCTTGGCTTATTGATGGCCACAGCTCCCCAATCGAGGCTGGTTTGGGCGAAACAGACAACAAGGACCATGACCAAGACTGAACGCGGAAAAGTCAGGGTTGACATTGTCCATCGTCCACCCGAGAGCCCGCGAAATCTTGCTCGTGGTCGCGGTGCTTCCTCACTCGAGGTCTGCCGCCCCGCGCGCAGCCGCGTGGATTGTGCAGGGTCCCGGCACTCCGTATAGCCTACCACAAGATCTTCTCAGAACCCAGCAATGTTCTCAGAACAAAGACAGTGTCCTCAGAACATAAGCCCGATGTGCGAAAAGAGCATGTCGACGAAGACCGCAAAAGCTTCTCAGAACATGACTTGGTGGGCCTGTAGGCCAGCCAGGACGCCTCGCCACTGCTCGAGGTGGAGGGAGCGAGGAGCAACCCCCTCGACGACCCCGGGCTCCTTTTTTCGGGTGTTGCTAGAAGTGCCCCTGGCCCAAGGTGCCCCCAGCTTCTCGCACTATTTTGGAGCCCCTGGGGCTCCCTGGGCCTCGCGAGGGGTGCCCTGGAGGCCGTATGGGCCACCCGGAGAATCCTGGGGGTACCTCGGGCCAGGGGTACTTCTAGCAACACCCGATTTCTGGCCTCCTGTGAGGACTCTCGCCGGCCACTGCTCCACATCCTCGGGCCACAGCGATCTTGCTACCATTCGGTCGGGCACGTCCACCTACGGGCGGATCTTGGACGAAAAATAAAAAAAACTAAAGCATCTTTATCAATGGTCGAAAAATCTACAACAAATCGTCGCCGTATTTTTTATGACAATCCTTGAATTCCCAACCATCCTGTGGTGTTGGGTCCTCGTTTTGAAAAGACGGTGCCCCGCGTCTCCTCCCGCTGCCCCCTCCTCCTCCCCCTCCTCCCTCCTCCCTGCGTTTCACCCACCCAGTACAACGCTTCGTGGCCCCATAGGGAGCTCCACCGAACGCCCCAGTGGCAGGGTTCGCATGGCGGCCCCGCGTTTTGGCGCTCCCCTCACACGGTTCGTAGCCCCATAGGGAGCTCCACCGAAAGGCCCCGGTGGCAGGGTTCGCATGGCGGCCCCGCACCGTTTTGGCGCACCCCTCACACGGTTCGTGGCCCCATAGGGGGTTCCACCGAACGCCCCAGTGGCAGGATTCGCATGGAAGCCCCGCGCCATTTTGGCGCACCCCTCGCGGTTCGTGGCCCCATAGGGAGCTCCACCGAAGGCCCCAGAGGCAGGGTTCGCATGGCGGCCCCGCGCCAGTTTGGTGCACCCCTCACACGGTTCGTGGCCCCATAGGGAGCTCCACCGAAAGGCCCCAGTGGCAGGGTTCGCATGGCGGCCCCGCGCCATTTTGGCGCACCACTCGCACGGTTTTTGGCCCCATAGGGGGCTCCACCGAACGGCCCCAGTGGCAGGGTTCGCATGGCGGCCCCGCGCCAGTTTGGTGCACCCCTCACACGGGTCGTAGCCCCATAGGGAGCTCCACCGAAGGCCCCCGTGGCAGGGTTCGCATGGCGGCCCCGCACCATTTTGGCGCACCCCTCACACGGTTCGTGGCCCCATAAGGAGCTCCACCGAAGGCCCCAGTGGCAAGGTTCGCACGGCGGCCCCGCGCCAGTTTGGTGCACCCCTCACATGGTTCGTGGCCCCATAGGGAGCTCCACCGAAGGTCCCAGTGGCAGGGTTCGCATGGCGGCCCCGCGCCATTTTAGCGCACCCCTCGCACGGTTCGTGGCCCCATAGGGGGCTCCACCGAAGGCCCCAGAGGCAGGGTTCGCATGGCGGCCCCGCGCCAGTTTGGTGCACCCCTCACGCGGTTCGTGGCCCTATAGGGAGCTCCACCGAAGGCCCCAGTGGCAGGGTTCGCATGGCGGCCCCGCGCCAGTTTGGTGCACCCCTCACACGGTTCGTGGCCCCATGAGGAATTCCCCTTGCTTCGTCCCACCTGCCCTGCGGTTTTCATACTTGCGTATGGTTGGGTCCTTGGCCTGGATAATTTTCCTCCTGAGGTCTCGACCCCTTCCACGGGACTGGCTTTTCCTCCCGAGCCGTTTTTGCTCACGGCCCCGAGGCCCGGCGAAGGCCCCCCGAGGCCGAAAATGGCGAAAACCCTCCCACCGTGACTTTCACCTAGCTCGAGGGGGTCTGGGACCGTGGAGTCACGAGTCGTTCTTTCACGGCACCGAAGCACGGCGAAGGCCCCCCGAGGCCTGAAAATAGCGACAACCCTCCCGCCGCCACTGTTTCTCCTGGCTCGCTGGGTCTGGGAAAACGCCATCCCGCTCACGCCCCAGCACCCACAACTGAGGAGGAGGAGGGGGAGGAGGAGGAGGCGGAGGAGGAGGAGGAGGAGGAGGTGGAGGAGGAGGGTGAGGAGGAGAAGGAGGAGGAGGAGGAGCAGGAGGCCTGCCCGACTTTCGGCTACCACGGAGGAGGCGCCGTGCAGCAGGCCGCGGAGGAGGCGCAGCGGTGGCCACGGGGAGAGCCCGCGCCACGAGCAGGGCACCCCCCCCCGGGTCCAAGGAGAGCGCCCCCCTTCCAACAACAAAACAAACAGAGCCCCTCCCGATGAGACCCGAGCGATGTGGAGTTCAGCGTCTTCACCAGAGAGGAGCAGGAGGAGCATGAGGAGGAGGAGGAGGAGGAGGAGGAGGAGGAGGAGGAGGAAGAGGGGGAGAATCAGGAGGAGGAGGATCAGGGGGAGGAGGAGGAGGATGAGGAGGATGAGGAGGAGGAGGCGGAGGAGGAGGATCAGGAGAAGGAGGATGAGCAGGAGAAGGAGGAACGTTTCCTGGTCACGGCGAGACCAGAGCGATCGTGAGTTTAGCGTCTTCGCCATGTCCGCTATCCAGGGGCCGACTTTGGAGGAGGAGATATACGAGGAGGAGGAGGAGGAGACGTGAGATACGCTCGCGTACTCCCCCTCCCCCTACAGTCATCGTGCTGCCAGAAGGAACGCAGAAGAAGGAACGAAGGTGCCCCGACATGGGTCCAGGGAGGAACCCCAAACCGGAGCCCCTCCGGATGGAACCAGAGCGATCGTGAGCTCAGCGTCTTCACTAGAGGTCAAAAAATCCACTACCATAATAACCACCCCGGCACGCGAAGTCGTTTAGCAAATGTGCCCGACGGGGCACATTTGCTAAACGACTTCGCGTTTAGCAGGGCGGTTTAGTCAACGCCCCGGGCCGTTTAGTAAACGCGTCCGGTCTGGGTGGTTTTTCCTCCCTTGATTCGCTCTGTCCAATATCCAGGACCCGACATTGGAGGAGGAGATACGAGACATGAACTTTCTCGAGTCGCGAAATCTATGCGACACGATGCTCTGCACAAGTTTCAGCCTCAGGGGACCCTCACGGGGCCCCGGGGACCGTCAACCACACGAGTCGGGACCTCTTCGGCGGAGGTCTTTGATAAGGAACCCTTGGATAAGGAACCCAGGGTCTCGCGACCGATGGGAGGCAAGACGAGGGCCGCCCACACCGCCTCGACGCAGGAAGGAATGCGCCAGGGTCTGGCCCCACGGAGGACACTCCTTATCCAACGACCCCGCCGTCTGGGTGACCCCGTGATGGAGGAATCACGGTCTGTGTGCCAGACGCCCAGGGAACCAACATCCCACGAGCCCAGGAGGCGACGGACCCGAAGATTCTCCGGGCCACGGGGGGGCCCAGAGGTGGCCACATCCACCGCCTCTTGCGATAAGCAGTGGGAGTACCCCTATAACCCTTTGGGAGGGGGCCTGGGTCAGGAGGGCACACACATCAGGGATAAGGGGGTGTAATGCTGCGGACGTATCAGGCCAGCGCGCCCATACCTATGAGCCCCAATGCGAAAAGGCGACCTCACTGAAGCCACGTCTTCATCATGTTCTTCGAGTCAGGGGGCTTTTGCTCTCGATGAGATTACGATGACGATGACGATGACGATGACGACGTCATCGTCATCGTCACCATCAAGGCCCGCGATGATACAGGCAACACCTGCCCCAGGGGATGGGGTCAGAGTTGCGGGCATCACGCCGTGACAGGCCCACGTCGTCGGAGCAAAACGGGGTGCAGGGCCGCACCTCCCACGTCGTGCTTGCTCCAGCCCGTGGGCCCAACAGATCCCGATCCCTTTCTCGAGGCCGGGGCTTTCGTCCTGGATGGTCTTCTCATGGCACCACCCGGGCCCGATAAGAGGCCCGACAAGTAGGCAACAACTGGAACCACCCCGCCTCGACATTTTGTTAGAAGCTGGAGGCCTGAGGAGGACGAGGAGGCAATCCCGATGTCGCCGCGGAGGCCCGACAAAAGATCAGAAGACGCCCGAAAACCTCGACCATCGAGGCCCAGGTACCGCGCAAGGGGTGGTGCCACGGGGCAGAGGGGCCCCCTCCTCCTCAAGCGAAAGCTGTGGACCGCATCCATCCGTGATGCGAGGCCCCATCGAAGGGATGTGTGTGTGTGGGGGGAACTAGGGGCGGAGATAAAGGGATAATACAGAATGACCAAACGGCGAGGGGATGAAGGAGCGCCCTCCTCTTCCAAGGGAGCGTTTTACATCGCAGCGCGGCAGAGGAAGCCCGCACGCGCGTCCGGGCAACCGGGGCTGCTTGTCATATGGAAAAAACACATGACAAGCATAAGAACTTCGAGGTCCACACGGACCTTCGAGTTTTTATGTTCATGCCATTGCTTGTTCCTCCTCCTCCTCCTCTTCCTCCTCCTCCTCCTTCTCCTCCTCCTCCTGTTTGACCTTGGTCAGACGTGAGGTTCGGTGAATGTTGCGTCCTGACAAAACAAGAAAAACGCAGGGCAGACAGGCAGGCCTGACAGAGCAGCATTCAGAAATCAGGAGGGCAAATCTGTGAGGTCCTCCTCATCCTCCTCATCCTGCTCCTCCTCTTCCTCTTCCTCCTCCCCTTCTTTCTCTTCCTCCTCCTCCTCTTCCTCTTCCTCCTCCTCTTCTTTCTCTTCCTCCTCCTCTTCCTCCCCTCCTCCTCCTGCTCCTCCTCATCTTCCTCCTCCTCCTCCTCCTCATCTTCCTCCTCCCTCCTTCTCCTCCTCCTCCTCCTCCTCCTCCTGCTCCTCCTCCAACTCCTCCTCCAACTCCTCCTCCTGCTCCTCCTCCTCCTCCTCCTCCTTCCTCCTCCCTCCCCCTCCTCTGCTGCCCCTCTCCAAGGGACCCCCGACCACCCCCGTGGGGCCGCGCCCGGGCATGGGCGGCGAGAGCCCCCACGAGCGCCCAGAAGCCTCTGAACCACCAACGTCGACGTCGACGGCCACGACGTCGGCGACGACGACGACGACGACGACGACGACGACGACGACGACGACGGCGGCGGCGGCGGCGACGACGACGACAACGAGGACAACGACATCGACGACATCGACGACATCGACGACGACGGCGACGGCGAGAACCACGGCGACATATCGATGATGTCGGCGGTGGCATCGGCGGCGGCGACGGCGGCGACGACGTCGATGACTTCGACTGCCACGGCGACGGCGGCGCCGCCCGAGGCCCCGGCGGCGTCGAGTCCGTGGCGGCGGCGGCGGCGGCGACGACGACGGCCACGGCGGTGCCGCCCGAGGCCTCGGCGTGCTCCCGCATCAGCTGCACAGCGGCCGCGGCGACGGCGTCGCCGGTAGCCCCGGGGATGGACCTGCCGCGGCATCGTCCCCCAGACTTCGGGTGGCGGGCGTTGCTTCAATGGGGGGTGCCGACGGGCCTGCGGCCCATGGACTAGAACAAGCACGTCGTCGGGAATCTGCGCAATCAGGGCTGGCGCCAAGATAGGCTGCTGCCGCCACGACTGCCGCCACCGAAAGTACTGCCGCCGTTGCTCCCGCACCACTTTCTGCCGAGCGTGGCCTCTTCTGGGGGGGGGGGGGGCAGCACATGGCCGATTCCGGAAACCAAATGCTCCCCACCTCTCGGGGGCACGTTTTCAGTTACTTCCGCCACCTTCCGCCGCCCTTCCGCTGGCTTTCGCCGAGGCGGCCCCGTTTCACTTCCGCCGACCTCCCGCCGCCCTGTCGCCGCCTTCCGCCGCGGAAGGGATGGTCGAGGTCGGGCATGTCCGCCTACAGGCGGAGCTTGGACGACAAATGAGGAATACACCAAGAATGTTCTAGAATGCTGGAAAAATAACCCACACATCGTCCCCTGACTATTTTTCTAATACTTTTGAACATTCCCCCAGGAGAGGGACAGGCCTGGCTAAATTACACCCTCGAAGGCAAAGCCCCTCTGGAGCGCCCCGAGATGGGAGAGAGAAGGGCGCACCGAATTCGCGCAGCTTCGGGGCCGCAGGGGGGCCCTGGTGAGCGGCTTCTGGGCCCCCATTCCTGCAACCCGCGACCCCCGCCCTCCACTTACGGTGGGGGCACTGGGTAAGGAACACCCAGATAAGGAATCCACAATCTGGAAGCCAGAGGAACTCCAAACGTGGATTGGCAACGGATAGCACCGCCACCCTCATCAGATAAGGAACCCTCCAGGCCTCCTGGGCACCTTCCTTCACGAACGCCCCCACCGTATCGCCACCTCAGAAGCCAAGGCCAAGACAAAATTGGACAGGGCCGAATCGGGGCTCTCTGAGACTCCCAACAAGAAAGCCTGAAGTCCGGTTCTGGAGGATCTCCTGGGCGCTGCAGCCGTTCCCGGGAGCGCTCCGAACGCTTTGAGAATGCTCCGGAGCGCCCCCGCCAGACCGCCCTCCCCTGAGATCCGACGTTGCCAAACAACTGCAACATCCCAAAAAGTTTACGCCCGGAGCCCCTGACCCCATCTTTCTGCGTCATGTCTCGAGCCGGATCGATATGCGAGGGCCCCGGGGCTCGAGATTGGGCGACCACGCCCGGTGTGCAAGACATTGCAACACCAGGACCTGACGGTCAGTCCTCGGGCGGATTGATCGTCTCAACTCGGGAGCTCTCTTGTCCCCTCTTGCGACCTGCCTGCGGGGACCGATCTCTCGGGCCTGCGGGTCGGTGTGATCGGGAGCTCGGAGCTACGTAGGCGTGGCATGTCCCCCTACAGGCGGGTCTTGCAGAACAACTTAAGAAGAGTCAGAAAAACATCAGTAAATATTCAAGAATCGTCGAAAATCGTCCCCTCACAATTCTTTGCTAGTTTCAAGCTTTCCTCCTGTAGAGGGACATGCCCGACTTAAGCTCGACGCTTTGCGGCCGCGGACTGGAAGAGAAGCCTCGACCTGGCGTCGGCGATGCCTCGCCAACAGAGAGGCGACAGGAACAGGAGGGGAATGAGGAGGAGGAGGAGGAGGAGGAGGAGGAGGGGGAGGAGGAGGGGGAGGAGGAGGAGGAGGAGCTGTAGGAGCTGGAGGAGGTGGAGGAGGAGGAGGAGGTGGAGGAGGAGCAGGAAAAGGAAAAGGAGGAGGAAGAGGAGGAGGAGGAGGAGGAGGAGGAGGAGGAGGAGGAGGAGGGGACGGGGCTTGGTTCTGGGGGGCGGGATGGGGCCCTCGGAGACCTCGCGGCGAGCAGGGGGCGACGGGGGCACAACGGCAGAGGGGGGCCCTGGCGCAGGGCGGGGACGCCTGGCAGCGGCGCTGCCTCGCCGACGGAGCGGCGGCAAAGCCCCCCCCGTGGCGATCGCGCGGGTGCCGGGGCGGCGTGGGGCTCTGACAGGCCGCTCGGCGACCACTGGGCGAGCTGGGGATCGACGCGTGCCCCCCCCCCCTGTCGATACCCAGGGCGGACGAAGGGCAATATCCGGCGGTGGGCAAACCTTCCTTCAACAAGCCTCCCTTTGGTGAGAACGGCCTGGGACCGGAACCGACGGACCTGGACCCGCAAAAATGACGGCCGCGACGCCCTGTCGCGAACCGAACACGGCCAATTCGCTAATCGACGTGTCAGGGTAGAAGTTCTATCCACCTCCGGACAGTACACGTCGGTCGGTCGGCGGATGAATTTGGTTGGGTTCAGGCCTTCCCAGAGAATAACAAAACGCAGCAAAAGCAGATCGATCCTTGAAGTAGGAAGGCGCTTGAAGTTGATTGGGACCTGGGAGTCCAGAAATACCTACTTCCAACGACCGGCGTGTAGGGGCGGAACCGAACCTCTCCGCCCTGGGGTGGCGGGGGCCGCGCGTCCCTTGGCGGCTGGCGGAGAGCGTGCCGCCACGGGGGCACCAGCCTCCCGGCAGCCACCTCGGGGCCCCCACGGCGCAGCAGCGCACGTCGTGCGATGCGTCGCCCGCCACGCAGACGGGCGGGCGCCGCATGCGGGGTGCCGCTGTGAACAAGAATGAGCGGGCGAGGAAGGAGTGGGCCCTGCCCTGGCCACGGCGGGCCTGGGCCACGGGGGCAGGCTCAACTGCACAGGTCCGAGCAAGGGCCCGGAGACCCGAACGCCTCCTGAGCCCATCACTACGACCGTTTGCAACGGTGCGTCCTATGGAGGAGACCCCAGCAGCCACCACCCTCACATCATGGCTCCAGCAATGTCCGCCCCCCCTTCCCCCCCTTCCCTTGTCATCGTGCTCCGCCGCCTCATTCCTCTCCACTGCCCCCCCTTCCTCCCCCTCCCCGTTCATATCATCCTCATCTTCCCTCCTCCTCCTCCTCCTCCTCCTCCTCCTCCTCCTTCTCCTCCTCCTCCTCCTCCTCCTCCTCCTCCTCCTCCATCTCTACTCCCCCACCTCATCACCGTTCCCCCTCTGCTCTCCTGCCTCCCCCGGCTGCACCCAGCTGCCTCCACCTGCCTCCACCTCCTCCCGCTCCAGCCGAGGCGTCGAGAACGCCCCGGCAGAAGGCTGGCCCTCAAAGCATAAGACGTAACATCGGACCTCAATGCGTCGAGTCCCCCTGCCGCCCATCCTGCGAGCGGCCGGCAGGCGCGCAGCGTCCAGGAGGCCTCCGACTGCGAAAGGCAACGGCGGCGACGGCGCGGCGGCGGCGACCTTGACGACGACGACCACGGCGACGACGACGACCACGGCGACGACGACGGCAGCGACGACGGCAGCGACGCTGACGACGACTGCGGCGACGACAGCGGCGACGGCGGAGGCGTCGACGACGACGACGACCACCATGGCCACAGCGGCGGCCGGCGGCGGCGGCAGCGACGGGCGGGTCGGCCTGGCGGCGTGCAGCGTGCTCCAGTCGCGCCCCACGCGCGCCAGCGAGAGCTGGGCCTGCCGCACGCCGTGCAGCAGCTCCTGGCCGCACGCGGCCGTCGCCAGCCATCGCCGCCGTTGCCTTGCGTGGGCGCCGCCGCCGCCGGTCGCTACTGCCACCGCCGCCTGTCGCCGTCGGACGTCTGTCGTCGTGGCCGGCGTCGACCTGAAGGTTTTCAGGAGGGAAAGAAACACACAGACACAATGAATCGTCGATTCCCCAAGAAAAAATTGGAAAATACGGGAAGTGGGGGGAAGACGAAAACCCAGAAAATATGAAAAAAAATTGGGAATCTTTTTATTTGGGTGTATATATTTTGTGTGTCCTGGGGCCCCTTCAGGTTTCTGGGCGCCTCTGGAGGCTCTCGTCGCCAACAAGGCTGGGCGCGGCTTGAAAAAACCGGCCACGATGGGCTCCGGGAAATGTCCAGGATTGGTTTTGAGCGGATGTTGGTCGGGGGTCGTCGTCGTCGCCGCCGCCGCCGTCGCCGCCGTTGCCTTTCGCTTCGCAGTCGGAGGCCTCCTGGACGCTTCGCGCCTGCCGGCCACTCGCAGGATGGGCGGCAGGGGGACTCGACGAGGATCGAGGCTCGGGCATGGAGGTCCGATATTTTTGGCATTGCGTGTCTTCTGTCTTGAGGGCCAGCCAGGACGTTCTCGTTGCCTCGGCTGGAGCGGGGAGGTCCTCACCGTCCTGGTCGTTGTGGTGGTGGTGGTCGTCGTCGTAATCGTCTTGATGGCCGTGGTAGTCGTCGTGGCCGTCGCCACCGTCGCCGTCACCGCTCGCCGGTCCCGCTCAGCGCCGTCGTCGCTCGTGGTGGCGGCGAACACCCCAGAGCGCAGGCGGCGTTCCAAGGCGGGAGGGAGGGTGGGGAGGGGCAAGGGGGGGGGAATGAAAGCGGCGAGGCAGCAGGGGGTGTTCGGAGGCTGTTCGGGCTCCCGCTGGAAATGCTCGGCGCGCGGGCCGGCGGTTGTCGCTTCCGGAGGCGTACTCCTCCTGCTCTTCCTCCTCCCCCCCGCCTCCTCCTCCTTCTCCTCCGTTTGCTCCTCCTTCCAGCCCTGCCGCTGCTCCTGCAATTCTCACCTTTCCTCCACGTCCTGCTCTCCAGACGGATCAGTCTGCACACTGCAAACGCTCTGAAGTCCCGCATCATACGAATCATCACGGTCCTGATCAGCATCCTTGTCATCGTAGTTAGAAGTGTGCGCTAACAGCGGTATCGCACCGACGAGCATTACCCTGATCATCACCATTACCCTAATCATCATCGCCCTCAGCATCCTCATCCTCATCAGGTTCCTTCTCTTCATACACATCCTCTCCATCATCATCGCCACCATTACCATTGGACTTCAACATTGCCAATCATTACTGGTGCCTCCTCCTGCAACTGCACTAGCCACAAGTATTTAGTCTCGGTGTTCGTTATCCGTCTCCCCCTCGTCTTCCTCTTCCTCCCCCCGCTCCACTCACATATTCCTTCTTCATTATCATCCTCATCCTCCCTCCCGTTTCACCTCATCGTCCAGATGATGATCATCCCCTCTTTCCTTTAGCCCCCTCCATCATGTTCATGCACCGTGGTCGTCTGCCTCCTCCTCCTTCTCCTCCTCCTCCTCGTCATCTGCCTTCTAGTATTCTTTCGCTGTCTTGCAGAACTTGGGGTAGATACGATATGCGAACATCCGTGCCTGCCCATTATCACGCGCATGCGCCTGATAGGGCTGCAACGATGAGATCCAAACACCACTCCAATATAATGTCAAAACTGTCACGCCAGAGTGACACCATTATTGTCTGCCCGGTGCAACAATTCGTTTTCGCCGCCTGCAGTAAAAAGCCACAAGGCAACACCTCCAGCTCCCAGACCGCATCCATGGAAAGCGCCGTCGAAAGCCGACTGGCAGTTGCAGCGCAAGTCCATTGTCCTCGACATTGCATATTGACATCCTGCCGCGTCCAATCTAAAGCCACACAGAAAGCCACGTTCGCCGAATGATATGCCGAGGAGTTGTGAGCTTGCGCTCGTCCCACTCGATTAAGGAGACAGCTTGGGCCAAAAGCAGACATCGTCCTCCCCTCTCCTCCTCCACGGTGTCATCGCCCACCGCATCCTCCTCCCCATTCCATCCTCCCCCCCCCCCTTCCATCCTCCACCTCCTAATCCTCCTCCTCCTCCCCCTCCTCCTACTCCTCTTCCTACTCCTCCTCCTCCTCCTCCTCCTCCTCCTCCTCCTCCACAATTACACAATATGAAAATACTCTCCCACTTCCCCTGATGGCGTCCCGAAGATATCCGACACCCCCCCGCGTATCGTTTTTTTACACACAGGATTCCCGGGAAACGGGTTTTCGCTTGTGTTTGTTTTCAAAATGCTGCTCTCGCCGAAGCGCCGGCCTCATTTTCGGGCCCCGCTCGTCCCGAATCGTGCTCCCGCTGCAGCGCTGGCCTCATTTCCGTGCTTCCGCTCGTTCCGAATCGTGCTCCCGCTGCAGCGCTGGCCTCATTTCCGCACTTCCGCCCGTTTCGACTCGTGCTCCCGCTGCAGCGCTGGCGTCAGTTCCCGTGCCATGCCACAGCACACGCGCACACACGCACACACACACACCACCACCACCACCACCACCACCACCACCACCACCACCACCACCACCACCACCACCACCACCACCACCACCCACCACACAACCACCACCACCACCACCAGCACCACCACCACCAGCACCACCACCAGCACACCACCACCACCACACCACGCACACACACACACGCACGCACGCACGCACGCGCACCACCACCCACTAGTCCGCGGATAGAGAAAATCAGCGCCATGGCAAGGGATGGGAGGGAGGGGTAGGACGTCAGATATGACGCGCGCGCACCTAGCTTGTCCTCCACCTCCTCCCCCTCTTCCATCTCCGGATCCCTCGCCTCCTTTCGTCCCCTCGCCTCCTGATCCCTCGCCTCCTCCTCCCATCCTCCTCCCTCGCTTCTCCTCTCCTCCTGCGCTCCCCATTCCCCCCTGCCTCCTCTCGGCGGCGAGCGAGGGGGGGGAAGCGAAACGGAGCATGCCTTCTCAGAAGCCTCGGAAGTCCCCCGGCCTTCTGAGGAGTTTGCTAAGACTTCCGCGAAGACAGAACAAATCTTCTCAGAAGGCGCGAGGGCGTCTGAGAAGTCCGGCCGCCTTCCGAGAAGGTCTTCTCCTCCCCTTGTCCCCCCCCCCGCTTGCCGCCGATCTATTCCCCAGCCTCCTCCCACGAGAGGCCCAGCTGCGACCTCCCCCTCAAATCGGGCCCTGGGACCGTCCAGCCGTGGCGGCGCTGGGCCCTGGGACCATCCGGGCCCAGGAAGAGAAAAGCGTCAGCAGCACAGAAGCTTTTACTACAAGGGGCCCGCCCCCCAAGGGGGCGCGCGAGGCTCGCACACGACCTCACCATTGAAGCATGGCTCCTCCTTGCAAGTCTTCGGTCGGGCATGTTCCCCTACAGGCTGCTTATGGACGGAACACCACAAATAATCAAAATACCAAAATGGTTATATAGATGTAGATATAATTGTGTATATATCTATCTATATATATATGTACCTCTCCGGAAAATCGCCCCCAGACTGTTTTAACAATTTTTGAATACTTCTCCTGTACAGGGACATGCCCGACTTAATGCAAGTCGTTGATGGCAGGTCTGGGCCTTCTGGGAAAAAAAATGCCAGGACCCCGCGCCCTTGCGAATACGACCCCCGGAATTCTCCCCAGGTCCCCGCTGGAAGCCAAAGACCCGAAAGAAAAAAAACAAAACGCGCAAACCCTCGACGACGACGACGACGACGATGACGACGACGATGAAAACGACGTCGACGACGACGACGACGGCGACGACGACGCCAGCGAGCGACGGCGGCGCCGACGACGGCGACGATGGCGACGACGGCACCCGACGACAATCCGCTCAAAACTAAACCCTGGACTTAGGCCGGGCATGTCCCCCTACGGGCGGCTTTTGGACGAAAAATGAAACACAGTAGGGAAGTGCCCATACAGTCGGGGCGTTGACCTAAGGAACGATAAATAAGGAAGGAGGCCCCTTTTTGAATAACGCATAAGGAGCGATAAATAACAAACAACGCATAAGGAACTGTAAATAACGCATGTAAAATCTAAGGCACGACCGAGCCCCTTTTGAAAAGTAAGTGTTCCTTACCCAAGCCGCTCACTGGAAATGAGTGAAATACGCTCAAGAAATTGTCCCCCGACTATTTTTTCACTATTTTGGAACCTTCCTCCTGTAGAGGGACACGCCCGACAATCCGCTCAAAACTAAACCCTGGACTTAGGTCGGGCATGTCCCCCTACAAGCGGCTTTTGGACGAAAAATGAAACATAGTAGAGAAATGCCCATTACTTTTTTAAAAAAAAAACACTAACAAAATTGTCCCCTGACTATTTTTTCACTATTTTGGAACATTCCTCCTGTAGAGGGACGCGCCCGACTTACCCCCGGGACCCTGCCCGGCACCCGGCCGTGGCCCGCCCTCCCGGCCGCGCCCGGCCGTGGCGGCGAGACCCTCCGGCCGCGCCCGGGGAAGTCCCGAGAAACGCCGCCGGCGACGGCGACGACGGCGGCGGCGGCGGCGGCGACGGCGCGAACGACGACGACGACGACGGCGCCGACAACGGCGACGACGACGGCGGCGACGACGACGGCGGCGGCGACCGCACGCGTTCGCGGGCAGCGCGCGGCCTCCGTGCGCCTCGCCGCGGCTCGCGTGCCCCGCGACGCGCGCAGGTCCGCGAGGCGCTGGAGCTGGGCCTGCGCCTCTGCGAAGGTCCTGCGGCCAGTGCGTCGTCACCGTCATCGTCATCGTCATCGCCATCGTCATCGTCATCACCATCACCATCACCATCACCATCATCATCATCATCATCATCATCATCATCATCATCAGCATCAGCATCATCATCATCATCATCAGCATCATCATCATCATCAGCATCATCATCATCATCAGCATCATCACCGTCATCATCATCATCAGTATCAGCATCATCGTCATTATCGTCGCCATCATCATCGTCATCAGCATCATCAGCATCATCCTCACCGTCATCAGCATCATCGTCGTCATCATCAGCATCACCATCATCATCATCATCATCATCATCATCATCATCATCATCGTCATCATCATCATCATCATCATCATAAATGTCATCATCGTCATCATTACCATCATTCTCGTTAACATCATCATCAACAACGACATCGCCAACATCATCAGAAGCATCAGCATGATGGTGATCAGCATCAACAGCATCGTCAGCATCCTCATCACCATCAGCATTATCATCATCACCATAATCATCATCAGTAGCATCAGCATAAGCATCACCATCATGATGCTCACCATCATCTTCATCATCACCATACTCATCATCAGTACCATCACCAGCATCAGCATCAGCACCACCATCATCACAATCACCATAAGCATCAGCATCATCGGCATCATCAGCATCAGCATCATCAGGATCATCATCAGCATCGCCATCATCGTCAACATCATTATCGTCATCAGCAGCAGCATCAACACCGCCATCAGCGTGGTCAGCATCATCATCATTATCATCAGCAGCTCCACGCTTCGAATCATAACAGGCATCGCCACCGTCTCAATGCAACATCATCTTCCTCATGAGCCTTCATCATCCACACCATCACCACACGTAAAATTCTGGAGCCCTCATCCTGGAACATCATCACCATCAACAAAAGCAGCATCATCATAATCGCAGATGTACCTTCCTAGTCATCGCAATAGTCACCGTCATCGTCTTGTTCGCCAATAGCACAGCCAGCATCGGCTACGTCATTCCTACCACCACTACAACTGACCATCCTTCCTCAGCACCCTAATTCTCATCCAAACCATTACCATCATCATCCGACTAATCACCATCGTGGCCGCATCCGCACTTCGAGGATCCAAGTTGTCGGGCGTTTTTGGCTTTTGGGACAGCGTCGTTGCGAACGGTGACGGCGGTCCTGCGGCCAGCACGTCGTCGCCGTCGTCGCTGCCGTCGTCGTCGCCGAACACGTCGAGGAACCCCATGTGACGGGGCTTCTGGGGCGTTTAGGGTGCTGTGGGGAGGCCCCCGCAGGTGTCCCAGATGGAGGTGTCCCTGAGGCCTGCGGGGTCCATAGAGGGCTCCACAGCCGACGCCGCGGCGGTCGCATCCCAGGACCATGCCGGCAAGTTGTTCGAGCCGCGTCCAGCCCGTGGGACGAGAGCCTCCCGAAACGCCAGAACAACCTCCCAACCGACGACACGGACGACGACGGCGCAGCCCCGTCCGTGCGGAGTCCACCCTGGCCAGTTGTTCGAGCCGCGGCCAGACACCCCAAACAGCCTCCGAAGCGAGGACGTCGTCGTCGACGTCGCCGAGCCGCGGGCCTGTCCACGCGCGTGCACTGGCCACACGCAAGAGTGGCCCTCAAGGCAAAGAGAAAGTTCCTCTGGTGCGCGGCTCTTGCCGACCGCTGCGTGCGATGCGACAGCAGCGGCCCGCGTGCTTGGGCTTGGCAGAGGAGGAGGAGGAGGAGGAGGAGGAGGAGGAGGAGGAGGAGGAGGAGGAGGAGGAGGAGAAGGAGGAGGAGGAGGAGAGAAGGGGAGGAGGAGGGAGGGAGGGAGGGAAGGAGGAAGGGAAGGGAGGATGGGAGAAAAAGGAAAAAGGGAGGGAGGGAGGGAGGAGGAGGAGGAGGAGGAGGAGGAGGAGAGGAGGAGGAGGAGAGGAGGAGGAGGAGGACGACGACGACGGGATGGAGGAGGGGAGGGGAGGGGAGGGGAGGGGAGGGGAGGGGAGGGGAGGGAGGAGGAGGAGGAGGAGGAGGGAGGAGGGGGGAGGGAGGAAGAAGCCACCAGCGCCCTCCGAGAGCAGCGCACCAGAGGTCCCTCGGGCAAGAAGGGCCTCCCTTGGCCAGCGGGCCCTCGCTCGGGCCTCGCGCGGCCGAGAGGGGCGATAGATTCGGGTAGCCTCAGGTCGGGCATGTCCCCCTACAGGCGGGTGTTGGGCGAACAACAGGACATGCTCAACAAAGGTGTAACAACAGTCGAAACAACACTCACCAACGCATCCCCAGACTATCTTTGACTACTTTTGAATATTCCTCCTGTAGAGGGACAGGCCCGACGTAAGGGTAGCCCCAGAACGCGCGATCGCCGAGGCGCCTCGTCCTCCTCGTCCTCATCCTCCTCCTCTTCCTCCTCCTCATCCTTCTCTTCCTCCTCCCGAGGCAGAAAAACATTAAGAATATACGGAAACGGAGGCAATCCTCGACATGCAGGGGGGCGGGTGAATCCCAGCTTTGGAGGAAAAGCGTGAAACATTCAGAGCGCCTGCGACAACATCTAAAACACGCCTGCGACAACGTCCGGCAGCCGCTGAGGACGATTCTGGCAACCACCGAGCGGTGTAGACGAGGCGCAGCTGCTGGAACGCACCCCTGGGCATGAAAGCATGGAAAAAGCCTGCGGCAACGTCCGGCGGCCGCTGAGGACGATTCGGGCAACCGCTCAGCGGTGTCGGCGAGGCGCAGCTGCTGGAACGCATCCCAAGGCAGGCAGCCCTTCAAGAACCTCGATGCTCCTCGCCGTCTGCATGCAGTCGGCGTTACGCAAAAAAAAACGCCCGCTACGAAAACGATAACCCGACCTGGGATGTGGCGACAAATGCGACACGCGCTGCCGAGGCCAGGAGCCCTTGTTCTAAAACAGTGGATCCACACTTCCGAGACCACAGTCCACCCAACAAAAGCACTCTGGAGCAACTCTGTGCTCGCCTTGCGCGCTCATCACCTCGGCATCGAGGCGGCGTCGACACGCTCCGCCTCTGGCTGCCGCAGATTCGGAGAGGGCGACCGTCGCCGCCCCCTCTTGCTTCGTTGGGGGAATAAGGCCGTGCTTCGCACCGACAGGTGATGGGGACTTGTTGCTTATCGTGTCGCGGCGGCGGCGGCGGCCCCGGCGACACGATATGCCCTACAAGCGGAGTGTCGCTTCGCTCCACGGGCGAGAGGCTGGGAAAGGCTCGGGACGTGGACGCCTGGGGACTAGCACGTGGACAGCGTTTCGCGACGAGGCGTGGTGGGCCAGAACAGGCGAGGCGACACGGTACGCCTAAGACCCTGACCGTACACACCTGCCAACCTGCAGTTGTGCGCACTATGTCGGAAAGAGTGACTATAGTGTCTATCAATGCCCCTATTTGCGCATACTAGCGCCCATTAGCGTCTACTGGCGCCTACTCGGTGTGACTTAGCGCCTACTAGCGACCACTGATGAGAAGTAGTGAACGTCAATCGCCGGGGAAGACAAATCATGCTTAAAATGACTATCACCCACAGCACGCCTAATTCCAGGGATCGACAAGAACGTCAAGGAAAAGAGAAGCGAAGAGCCGCTCAGCACGTGTGGCTTAGAGTCTGCTCGGGGTTCTGAGCTGGTTTGGACCCCAGAGCATCGGTCAGAAAGAGAGGATGAGGACACATCCGCTCAAGGTCTGTCCCCACAATCCCTCCCGGGCTCCGTCTGAAGCAATTCTTCGCCACGGGTCCGCTTCTGACGTTCCCGGGGCCCGCAAACGGCCGCCAGAGGCACACAGAAAGGCAGAACACCTTCCCGAACCCAGAATCTCGAACCTGCCCGCCCTTCCTGCCGGCCAGAACCAGCGCAGGGCCACCCCGGACCCCCAGTAGGCGCTAACGTGTGGCCGCCGATCCGCGCGCGCGCGGACCCGCGGGCCGCATCGCGGTCCTCTCGCCCCGCTTCACCAGGGCATCCGAGCGCCCGGCGGCGTCGAGGATGACGTCGAGCGGGTTGTCCTCGCCCTCCTTGGCCTTCGCCTGGCCCCGCAGGCCGCCCCAACGGCACCAGACCCACATCGCCCTGCGGTATACGTGCGGCAGATTCGTGCAGCGCCACCGCGCGCAAAGATTTCTGACGCCGAGTCCATCGTTCAACCTTGAATCGATCGCGGCCCCGATCGTTCCAGGTTGCATCCGGTCGGGTCCCGTGGCGCCACGCGTGCCCTTGGGGTGCCTCCGCGCCGCAGACTTCCACCGCGGACGCCTTCGCCAGCGCCGCAGGCGCGCCAACGCCGCATCAGGCTGCGATGTGCGGATGTGCACAGCTGCTGCCTCGCCGCCGCCGCTGGCCCCCCCGCCCCGCCGCGGCCGGGCCCTGCTCTGAGCGGGCCCAGCTTATTCCGCTCCCTCCCGCCCGCGCCGAGCCTCCCCTCTCCTCCCGCGTCTTGTGTGACCCGCTCGCTGATGCCACGTCGCCGGAGCAGTCCCTCTGCCCAGCCGCCGACGCGAAAGCAGGTAGGTGTACAGGGGAACCCGCGCGCGTGCCGTGCGCACCACGAGCCGAGTCAGATGGCGCAGCAGACCGGCAACCCCAAGCGGGCGGGGTGAAGGCCGATGCTGCACACCCAAATTCGGCGGCGCGCACGGGGGGTAACTAACTAGGGGGAGGGGGGAAGGCTTCTTGGAAGGAGGCTGCTTCTTAGAAGGCGCGGGCCCTGTCTACAGATGTAAGGCCGCCGCCTCCTCCTCCTCCTCCTCCCCCTCGTCCTCCTCCTTCTCCTCCTCCTCCGCCTCCTCCTCCTGCTCCCCCGCCTCCTCCTCCTCCTCCTCCTCCTCCTCCTCCTCCTCCTCGTCCTTCTAAGAAGCTTGCCCCCCTCACCCATGCCCCCCCCGTGAGCGCCGCCGACACACAGCACCAATCACGGCCCCGGGAGCCAGGACGATCACAGCTGGGGCCCTTGCCAGCCACAGTTGGCGAGGACGAGACACAGGGAAAGGCACACCACCCCTCCCTCCTCCTCTCTCCTCCTCCTCCTCCCTCCTCCTCCTCCTCCTCCTCCTCCTCCTCTCCTCTTCCTCGTCCTCCTCCTCCTCCTCCTCCTCCTCCTCGTCCTCCTCCTCCTCCTCGTCCTCCTCCTCCTCCTCCTCCTCCTCATCCTCTTAGCCGTTCTGGCACAGGCAACTGTGATTGTTGGCATCTACTTCAGAGCGGCACAAGGTGCCAACGAGCCAGACTGGCACGATTCTCTCAGCGCCATGGCCCCGTTCAAGCCCATGACATGGGGGCCGTCCCCAGCCTGGGCACATGGGTTGGCCTACGCGCCGCAGTGGCCTCAGTGGGGCGCCACGCCGTTTCCTGGTGCACACCCTGGTGCTCCTGGCTACAGTGACGACGGCGCTCCTGCTGGCCGCTGGACATGTGCATTTCCAGACTGTCGGTGCAAGAAGAACGATTCCCGTGCCAATGCTTGCAAGCACTGCAAGCGGCCGAGAGGTGCAGCTCCAGGGACGGCTCCTCCAGGCTCATGGACGGGGGGTACGTCATCGGTGCAGCGACAAGGCGACTTTCCTCCTCTTCAAGCGGCTTCTGGTGGACAGCCGCTCAAGGCGGGGCCACAGTCGCAGAAGTATGACAACTATTCGGTGGACGAGCTGCAGCAGCTCATTGACATCGCGCATAAGCATAACGACACAGCCAACGTGGGTTTCTACAAGGCGGCCCTCGAGCGTCGCCAAGCCAAAGATCGTCCTGCACCTCCGAAGCCTCTTCAGCGACAGGCCAATGATGCGCATCAGGCCCTCAAGATCACTGAGCGCAGGCTCGAGAAGGCGGTTGACGAGTTGGATTCGGCACGCGTAGGGGTCACAAAGAAGCATGAAGATGTGGTCAAGCTCAAGGCTGAGTTGGCGGAGAAGGACCGCATACACACCGACCTCGTTGGCCAGCTACATTCTACAGTGTGCAAGCCCCAGCAGCAGGCAAGCAGCACGGCGACGCAGATCAACGTCCGCGACCTGCTCGAGGGGCGGCTGTCGGAGATCAGCATCGTCGGTGGCGACGAATTGTTGGGCATCCCGTCGGCAGAGTACGATTCCAGTTCTGAAGATATCACTCTACTGCAGGGCAAGCAGAAGGAGCTTCTGGCTGGTGTGCAGGAGCTGGCCAGCACGCTGCACGCCGACCTGGTCAAGACTCTCGACACGGCGGAGAAGGAGTACAGGGACAACCTCTCGAGGCCCTCTCACAAGAAGCGCAAGGTCGAGGACGGCGCCGCTCCTGGAGGAGGTGAAGGTGATGCGCCTGCCGCTGCTGGCGGCGGAGGCGCCCCTGGTGCTGCCGCGGCAGCTGCGGCCCAGGCAGCCCCGCAGGACGCCGCCGCTGCCGCCAACCTTCGTGAGCGAGCCGCGCGTGCTGCTGCCCAGGCTCCTGAGTCACAGGGGTCCCCCCCCCGAGCCATCGCCATGAGCTCGGTGGGGAGTGCAAAGTGAGTGCAGACAAGTTTTTGCAGCAGCCTGGTCCCACTCAGGGGCAAACTTTTTACCACATGCAGCCTGGCCAGTCTAACATGACCCAGTGTAATGGTGTCCTCAGTGCCCCAGCCCACCCAGGCCCTGACGATTTTGAGTTACTTTTTGAAACCATTAACACCAGCAGTTGGACGTCGGCCAAGCCCTGGCTTTAAAAAACCCCCGCCCATATAACTTTGGTTCAGGAGCATCATTTAGCAAGTCAGGCTGCGGTTGAAGAAGCTTCGTCTTGGAGTCGTCGCCACGGCTGGCTCGCTCGAATTACTCCTGCCCTGGTCACGCCCGATGGGGGCTCGTCTGGCGGTACGGCGATTCTGGTTCGAGATTGGCTAGGCTGTTACGACCTCACTAAGGGACCAGATCTCTACCCAGGCCGAGTGACGGCCTGCTGGGTGCAAGTACCTGGCGGCGTCACCGTTTTGTGTTGCTCCATCTACCTCAAGGACTCCGAATGATTATCTGAACTTAACCTTGGCGTTTTAGCCAAACTCGGTTCCCTCCTCAACTCCTGCTCCTCCCCCTACATCGTGTGGGGGGATTTTAATATGCCCCCGTCTGAGCTCGCCGAGTGTGATTTTGCGGCGGGCCTTTCTGCTAACATCGTCTACCCACCCAACTCCATCTCCTGCACCAGCACGGCTGCGGGAGGTGGGTCAATGCTCGACTATTTTGTCTGTAGCCCAGGGCTCGGGAAAGGGGTTGCTGGTACGTCGGTCGTGTTGAATGCGGACATTCGCCCCCATCGACCCGTCCGAGTCAGGTTCCATCAGTCGCTTGCGGACCTTCAGGTCCTCACTTTTGTGCGCCCCCCTCCGATCCCAGGACCCCTCCCTGTCGGGCCATTCCCCCAACCCTCCAGCTGGCAGGATACTCTTGACTGTGCCGAGCATGCCCTTGCCTTGGTTCGTTCGGGGGCTCCCAAATCGTCCATCCAGCGTCATGTTAGTTTGTTATATAAGCTTTGGGCCAATCAATCTGAAGAGGAGCTTGAGGCTGCGTACCAGATGGTTCTGCCGAGGAACTCGAGGCAAGGTTCCCAAGCTCGCGTGGAAGTCGGTGCTCGCCCAAGACCGCAGCCGCAAGCCCAGGCAGCCGGCGCTCTACGCTCTCAGGTGGCTCGAGGGCAGTTTGAGGATGTTCATCGGTTGCGCTAGCACGGACCGCTGGTGCCAGGCCAGGGATATCTCCAAAATGTTGTTTTCGCCACCCAGAGACATCAGTGACCATTTGTTTTTGTTTCAGGACCTGGCCCAGCGAGTCCAAGATCACGTGAAGCCAGTTTTTGACGGCGCCACTGACATTGGAGACCAGTGGCAGGCTGCGGGTCATGATACCCTTGCGGCCTTGAGCGAGGCTCTCGGCACCTACTCGGCCACTGCCAGGGCCGAGGCTGCCGCTATTTGGAAGGAGTGGTTGTGTGACGGGCTGGAGGGGGGAGGGAAGCGTGCTCATAATTGGACCCGCCCCCCCACTGCCTGGACCCCCACCAACACCGTCTCCTCCAAGGGTAAGGTTTTAGCGGACCCTAAAAGTTTGTTGCGGACTGAGTGTGCTCGTTTCTCGGGGCTTTGGAGGGCCCAGGAGGCCCCATTCCCCCCAAAGCAGGGCTTTGTCAAGTTTTTGGAACCCTTAGAGTGGCTTGAGCCCGACTGCATTCGTAAGGCCTCCAGGTCGTACAAGCCTGCCTCCGCCGTCGGAGTCGACGGGTTTCACATGCGGCACTTCCAGGCTCTCAGTGATGCTGCCCTCCATGTTTTGATGACCCTCTGGTCGGTTATGGAAAGCACTGGTGTGATCCCGAAGCAGGTTCGCATTTTGAGTTTGGCCCTTCTTGAAAAACCGACTGGGGGATGGAGGCCGATCGGCATCTTTGCTGGCTTTTACAGGCTTTGGGGAAGGCTGCGGCGGCCCATCCTCCAGGCTTGGGAGACCAGCGTGCACAGGCCCTACCTCGCCGCCTCGGCCTTTGCTGGAGCAGGGGACGTTGTGTGGCGGCAGACGCTCCGCTCGGAGGCTGCAGTGACCAATTCGCAGGTGTCTTGCAGCATGCTATGGGACCTCCACAAATTCTTCGAAACCATCTGCCTCGAAAAGCTCAAGGGGCGCTGCAAGCACTTGGGCTTCCCGCCGCAGATAGCCTACGTCTGCCTCAACATGTATGCAGGACCGCGTTTTATCATGTTGGGCACGATGGTCCAAGGACCATTTTTTGCGCTTAGAGGTGTCATAGCTGGGTGTTCGGCAGCCACCAGCTTTGTGCGTGCTTTTGTTATCCCGTCCCTTGATATTTTATTCCCGAGAGTGCAGCGTTGCCTCGATGTTTACATTGACGACTGCGGCTATTCGGTTCAGGCTCGCCCGTGTTCGATCGTTAACATCGTCGTCGAAACCGCCAGAGAGCTTCACCACGTTATCACGGAAGATATGGATTGCACTATATCCCTCGATAAGACTTCTCTTGTTTGTTCCTCCTCCCCCCACGGCGATCGCATCAAGAAACTGGTGGGTCCATTGGCTGGACAGCCAAAGGCCACTGCTGTGAATCTGGGTGTTGATGTGACGGCGGGTATGGGGAGGAGAGGTGGCAGGAGAGGTAACAAGTATGCTAAAAGGCGCCGTATATTTAAACAGCGGCAAGCGAGGTCCCAGCGGTGCAAGGCTAAGCTTGGCCGTCACACGTGCCGCATTTTTAGCACGGGCCCGCTTGCAGGATGGAGTTATGACGCAGACACCCATGGTATTTCAGACTATGAACTTGCCTGTGCCCGAAGAGCCTTAGGTGCCACCCTGAAGCCATCCTCGGGCCAGCGTTCCCTCACCTCCCTCCTTATCCTCTACCAAGACCCCATGTGGAGGGCCGCTGTGGCCCCGATCGTTCGGTTTTCGAAAGCGGTTTTTGGGGCCCAGTCGAGGTTGTCTGACCATGCGTTGCCTTTCTCTGTGCTGGGTGCAGCTTGGAAAACTAGCTGTGTTGGCAACCCCGCTCCCGTCTGGCGTCAGGTCTGGGGCCCTATGCAGGCCATGCGTTTATCTCTTGTTAGGATTGGATGGCACATGCCATCATGGCATGCGCTCGTCAACGATCTCGGTGACGAGATCCCGCTCACGGCTACGTCGCCAGCTCTCGTGGCCGATCTTTTGTGTGAGGGGGGTCATCCGCTCGCACCAGAGGGCGGTGGGCGACAAGATTGGGAGTGGGAGGCTGTGCTTTGATGCCGTGGCCTCAGAGAGGCGACGCTCGGCTCACAAGCCGCGCGATCGCGGAGTGATCAGGATGATCGCCCGCGACGGCGCCTGGACTAAGGACCGCGCCATCGAGTGCGGGTACCTGCTTCAAGACAATCTGTGCCAGCGTTGCGGCGCTGCTCCTGATAGTTTGCTTCACCGACTGTGGCCGTGCCCGAGCGTCTCCGATCAGCGCCAAGAGGCCTGTGACGCTGCCATTGTGCAAGACGCCCTACGTGTGATATGACGAGGGCAGTGACAGTGACAAGATTTTATTTTCCAGGGGTCTCTTCCTTCACCCAGGGGGCTGGTTACCGAGGCCCTCGGAGGCTGGAAATATCGTCCACGTGTTTGCTGGTGGTCCAGGGTCCGCTCCTGGTGCCGTTGGAGTTTCTGGTGATGTGTCCTGGGACGGTTCGTCCCACAGGCATGTCATCAAGGAGCTGTCGAGGGCGGGCTGGGGCTTTGTGCCTGTGGACCCTCCACGGGTAGTAATAGCGTCAGTCTCGGGGGCGGTGTCCAAGCCCTTTCCCCAGACATCACAGGCGGAGGAGTACAGTGCCTATTCGGCTACAGCTCAATGCCTGGAGGGGCCCACAACGGGCTACGCGGATTGTGAAGGGGTCGTCAGGGCCACTTCGGCTCCCGGAGCCGTGGGTTTCGCATATAAGAAGAAATAGCCTGGCAGTGCACTGTTTACTTCCTCCAAGTTCTGGCGTGCTGTGAGGAAAGTTAAGGCTCACACCGTCGAGTCTGCCGACATGACTGATGAGGAGAAATTTTTGTAAGCTTGGCAACGACGCGGCTGACAGAGCTGCGAAGCACGGCGCGTCACTCCACCCGCAGGCCTGTGCGGACGAGATGGCGCAGATAGATCGAACAGTTGCCACTGCTCGTGCTGTCTGTAGAGTTGCCGCCGCGGTTTTGCCCAGCTGGCCGAAGTCAGTTAGATCTCAGTGAAGTGCAGCGTGCCATTCCCATGCCACCTCCTCCTTCGCTTGAGCCTCACTTCGGTCACCAATGGGAATGGTATCGCGGTGTATGGCGGTGCATGTGCTGTCTCCGTTTTCGTCGCTGCTCTGAGCGACCTTCCTTGGCAGGATGTCGCGGTGAGCCACCGCCTTCCGTGCAACTGATTTCGAATTTCGGTCACCGCATGCTTGCTTTGCAGTGCAGTGACGAGTCGCCACTCTTCGTCTGCGTCAGGTGTAAAGCCTACACGTGTCTCGGCAGAGTGCTGCGGCTTGACCGCCAATGTGATCCCGCCAAGACTGGCCGTAATGACTGGGACCGTTGGCGGCTCATGCAGCGTGGGCATCACCCTAAGCTCAAAGGGGTCAGTGTCGAGCCCATGCCAAATATAGATTCGTGAATACCACGGCCATATCCATTTGTTCGTTCCCTCAGGTCACCTGTAGGGCGGTGTTAAATGGAAACAAATCCTCATCCTCCTCCTCTTCCTCCTCCTTCTCCTCCTCCTCGTCCTGCCTCCTCCTCTTCCTCCTCCTCCTCCTCCTCCTCTCCTCTTTCTCCTCCTCCTCCTCCTCCTCCTCCTCCTCCTCCTCCCCCCTCCCTCCTCCTCCTCCTCCTCCTCCCTCCTCCTCCTCCTCCTCCTCCTCCTCCTCCTCCTCCTCCTCCTCCTTGTCCTCCTCCTCCTATTCCTCCTCCTCCTCCTCTCCTCCTCCTCCTCCTCCTCCTCCTCCTCCTCCTCCATCCCTCCATCCATCCTCCCCCCTCCTTCTGGTCCTCCTCCTCCTCCCTCTCCTCCTCCTACTCCTCCTCCCTCCTCCTCCTCCTCCTCCTCCTCCTCCTCCTCTCCTCCTCCCATCTCCCCCTCCCCCTCCCCCTCCCCCTCCCGCTCCTCTCCTCCCCCCCCTTGCGCCAAGTGGGTCCAGAGCCACCTCCCTTCTCCCCTCCTCGCCCGCCCTCAGACATTGCCTGGCCCTGAGGGTCGAGGGGTCGAGGGACGAGAGGGTCGAGGATCCAGGATCGGGGAGGCGCAGGAGGACGAGGACTAGAAGGACGCGCATTACCAGGCTCGCCCTAACCTTGGTCTTCGCCTGGCCCCTGGGGGACGAGTGGTCCAGGCACGAGAGGGAGGGTCGAGGATCCGGGGTCGAGGATCCAGGACCGAGAGCACCAAGGCTCGAAAGATCAGAGGCCCAGGATCGGAGCGACAAGGGGCCGAAGATCGAAGATCCAGGCTCGAGCTTCGGGCATCGAGATTCGAGCATCGAAGGCCCAGGATCCAAAGATCGAGGATTCGGGAATTTCTGCGTTTTCTTCGCTTCCCTGACCTTCGAGAAGTCTCCCCGAGTGCCTCTGGGGAACCTCTGGAGGCCTTCCTCTGGAGGCCTTCGTCGCGGGGTGGCCACCGTCGGCCCAAGAGGCCTGCAGGAGGGACACGTGTCCCCTCCACCATCCTCCTCGCCCTTCCCTTCCCTCCTCCTCCTCCTCCTCCTCCTTCTCCTCCTCCTCCTCCTCCACACGCAACACCCTTGAGCGATGGAACTGCAAGATTCTCAAGGGCAAACACCCCGACCGCAAAGGCGTGGAGCTTGAGGGTTTTCCTGCTGGGTGATCGTGACAGGCACTGTCAATGTTTTTGGGGCTCCCGAGTTATCTGGGGTAACTCGGGCCTGGGGTAACTCGGGCTTAGATTCCCGAAAAAACCGAACCCGAGTAAGCCCTGACCCGAGTTACCCATGATGATTTGGGGCTTTGGACGCCCGAATTATCCAGGGTATTTGGGGCCCAGGGCAACTCGGGTTCGGATTCTCGATAAACGAACCCGAATTAGCCCTGACCCGAGTTACCCGTGACGTCTCGGCGCTCTGAGTAAACATCCTCCTCCTGCGCCCAGTGTGCTGTGCAGGGCGACAAGCAAAATCGGAGGCAGAACCTGACTGGGCGAGCGGGAGCGGCCCTCTGAGGCAGCGACGACGACGCGGACGACGACCACGATGACGACGACCACAGCGACCACGACGACCCCAGCCTCCGGAGACGCCTTCGGCAACGACGACGGCGCGGACGACGACCACGAGGAGGACGACCACAACTGCCACGACGACGACAACCCCATCTTTCTGAGACGACCTCGGCAACGACGAGGACGCGGACGACGACCACGATGTAGACGACTTGAACGACGACGACGACGCCAGCCTTCAGCGGCGCCGCCTCGAAGTCCCGCTCCGCGGCGGCGCCCTTGTCGCCGCCGCCGCCGCTGGCCTTGGCGCCCTCGGAGGCCTTGGCGCCCTGGGCGGCCTTGGCGCCCTCGGCGCTGCCGTCGGCCTGACCACGGCGACGACGCCAGAGGCTCAGGGCGCCAGAGACGGGGGCACATCAAACAGCTGCACGGGGAGCGCCGATTTTTCCACGTCAGACTGTGCCCCCGTCCAAGGCAGGCCCCGGGGCGCCGGTAGATGGGTGCACAGTCAACGGGGTCAGCCCCCGTTTGGCGAAACCACCGTCTACGAACCCTGAGATCCGACGTTGCACAAAAATTGCAACATCGCGCAACAAAAATCACGCCCAGAGCCCCAAACCGCATCTTTCTGCGTCATTCCTCGAGGCGGATCGATATGTGAGGGCCCCGGGTACCAAAATTTAGCGAAAACCAACGCCAGGATCTCGGGGAAGCCCCGAGAGGCAGCGGCGGCGATGCCACCAGCACCGGCGGCAACGGCGACGGCGGCGGCGGCGGAGGCGACGACAGCGGCGGCGGCGGCAGCGGCAGCGGCAGCAGCGGCGCGTGGGCGGCGGCGAGGAGCGGCGGAGCAAGAACAGGAGCAGCGGCGGGCCGAGGAGGGGAGAGGAGGCGGAGCAAGGGGAAGGAGGAGGAGGAGGACGAGGAGGAGGAGGAGGAGGGGGAGGGGGACAAGCTAGGTGCGCTCGCGTCATATCTGACGTCCTACCCCTCCCTCCCATCCCTTACCATGGCGCTGATTTTCTCTATCCGCGGACGCGTGTCGTAGCGGACCTGTGGCTCCGCGCGCGCGTGCGTAGTGGGTGGTGGTGCGCGTGCGTGCGTGCGTGCGTGTGTGCGTGGTTGTCGTGGTGGTGGTGGTGGTGGTGGTGGTGGTGGTGTGGTGGTGATGGTGGTGGTGTGGTGGTGGTAGTGGTGGTGGTGGTGGTGGTGGTGGTGGTGGTGGTGGTGGTGGTGCTGCTGGTGGGTGGTGGGGTTGGTACTGGTGCGTGCTGGTGGTGGTTGTGGTGTGGTGGTGGTGGTGTGGTGGTGGTGGTGGTGGGTGGTGGTGGTGGTGGTGGCGGTGCGGCGCGGTGGTGGCGGGCGGATGGGCGCGCGAGAAAAAGGCCCGCGCTGGGGCGAGAACGCCATCCTGAACGACGGAGGCCAAACACCGATCCGAAAATGAGGCCCACGCTGCAGCGGGAGCACGATTCGGAACGATTCGGGAGCAGAAATGAGGCCGGCGCCTCAACGAGAGCAGCATTTTGGGGAAAAATGACGCCGGCGCCTAAGCGAGAGTCGTTTCCCGGGATTTCCTGAGCATCCTGTGTGTAAAAAAACAGCACGCGGAGGGTGCGCGGCTATCACCCGGACGCCATCAGGGGAAGGATTCGGGAGCAGAAATGAGGCCGGCGCCTGAGAGCAGCATTTTGGGAAAAAATGACGCCGGCGCGAGAGCAGCATTTTGAGAAAAAATTGCGCCGGCGCCTCAGCGAGAGTCGTTTCCCGGGATTTCCCGGGCATCCTGTGTGTAAAAAACAGTACGCGGAGGGTGCGCGGCTATCACCCGGACGCCATCAGGGGAAGAGGGAGAGTATATTCATATTGAATAATTGTGGAGGAGGAGGAGGAGGAGGAGGAGGAGGAGGAGGAGGAGGAAGGAGAGAGGGGGGGAAGGGGGAGGGGGAGGAGGAGGAGGAGGGAGGATGAGGGAGGAGGAGGAGGAGGAGGAGGAGGAGGATGAGGAGGAGGAGGAGGAGGGAGGAGAGCAAGGAGGAGGAGGAGAGGGACGAGGACGCGGACAGGGAGGACGATGAGGAGGAGCGGGGGGGCGTGGAGGAAGAGAGGAGGCAGGGAGGATGATGGGGGCGAGCGTGGAGGAGCATGGGCAGCAGGTGGATGAGAGGGTGGAGGAGAGGGCTATGGTGACAGAAAGAGGTGGAGGAGAAAGACTGGCCCGAGAAGGATGACGGACAACGGCGGCGACGACGTCGACGATCACGACGACGGCGACGCGACGACGCGACATCGACCACGACGGCAGCTGTGACGGCAACGACGAAGGCGACCTTGGACGACGATGATGACGACGAGGACGACGGTTTTTGTTGCAAACAAAAGAGGCAACGGGAGAGCCAGGGAGGAGATCAGGCCGCAGCCCATGAAGGGAGACTGCCACATCGTCCACAACTTGGCGGCAAATGACAAAGTGAGAGGAGGAGGAGGGAGAGGAGGAGGAGGAGGAGGAGGAGGAGGAGGAGGAGGAGGAGGAGGAGGAGGAGCAGAAGCAGAGAGAGACAAGACGGCGCAGGAGACGAAGCAGCCCCAAAACGCGACACCCCCTGGCCTGCCAAACGTTGGCACGACGAGGACGACGGCGGCACGACGGCGGCGGCAGGGACGACGACGCCGACGTCGACGCCGACCGCGACGACGACCGAGGCCATCCCGGCCGCGCCGCCCACGGGCGCGGACGCCTCGGCCGCGGCTCCTCCCGCGGGCGCCGGCCCGGCCTCCGCGCGGAACAGGGGCCGTGCTCGCAGCACAGAGAGCGGTGGACTTAGGCCAAGGCTGCCTGCGTCAGGGACGCTCCGAGGACTTCCCGTGGAAGCCACAGGAGGTTCCTCGATCGTCCTTTTTTGGTGGGCCCCGTGGCAGGTCGCACGGCAGGACGCCTCGCCACCGCGTGGTGCCTCCTCCTCCTCCTCCTCCTCCTCCTCCTTCCCTCCTCCTTCTCCCCCTCCCCCTCCTCCTCCTCCTCCTCCCCCTCCTCCTCCCCCCCTCCTCCTCCTCAACCTCCTCCTCCTCCTCCTCCTCCTCCTCCTCAACCTCCTCCTCTCCTCCTCCTCCTCCTCCTCTCCTCCTCCCCTCCTCCTCCTCCTCCTCCTCCTCCTCCCTACCCACTTGTCCCTCTCCTTTTGCAGCCCCGGGGCCGCTTCAGCAGCCTCGGCCTCCTCCTGCTCCTCCCGCCCGCCGCTCGCTCCCCCCAGAGGCGGGAAGGAGGGGGTGGTGACGGTCAAATGAAACCTGATACCCCCCCCACACACACTCACACACACACACACACACACACACACGCACGCACGCACGCGCACACGCACACGCACACGCACACGCACACGCACACGCACACGCACACGCACACGCACACGCACACGCACGCACGCACGCACGCACGCACACAGACGCACACAACAAAACAGTCGAAACAACCAAAACAACCCGATCTACGCAACAACCAAAACAACCAAACCAACCTAAACAACCCGAACAATCATCACAACTCTAAAACCAACCAACAACAATTGAGACAGGGGCCTGACTAATCAAAACAACCGAAGGAATAACCAGACAACGCCAGTAGAACAAAGATTTCAGTACTTCGTCCACCCCGACCTCCCCCCCCAGAGGAAGTGCTACATCGTCGTTTGTGTTGTTGCGTTTGGTTACGTATTCGGTGCTTTTGGGTGTTACAGGCCTCTATACTTTAAATCGTTGCTTGTGTTGGGTTGTTTTCATATGTCTTCTTGGTTTTGTCAGCCCCCAGCTGCAGGAAAGAGAGGAGCAGGAGGATGATGATGAGGAGGAGGAGGAGGGGAGGAAAAGAGGATGAGGAGGAAGAAATTGAGCATGACGAAGGGGGGGAGAAACCAGGTCTCTCCCCTCTCGTGAGGGGGAGCAAGGGAAGAAGGACGAAGAAGATGTGGAGGAGGACGAAATTACCAACGCTCGCGCAAGGTGCTCCCTCGGGAGGAACGCACATGCACGAACGTGTACGTCTCCGTGTCGCCCCTGACCTCTACGAGAGCCTGACCAGAGTGCAGGGGAAACACATAAAGGGGGGGCTGGTCCTGGGGTGGGGGGGAGCGTCGACCCGGAATGGGCAAGACATCGCCGATAGAGCGGCCATAGGACCCGGAAAGCGAATCCGAACGCTCCTGGGCGGGGCGGCGCTATCGAGCCCACACCGGCGACGAATGGGCGACTGGCGATCGATGCGCCATCCCCTGAGCCTATCAGCCTACCCACCCCTAGCGTTGGCCCGTAGCTTTCGGGTGATAGCTCGGCTCTTCGGTGGCCGTTCGGCACGAGTCCAGCACCCCTGGAACGCTCTCGACGAGGCGCAGCGGATGGAATCCACTCCAGGCCTCGCAGGCTGCCGAAGACGTCCGAACACAACCTCCGAGTCTCGCCCTTCGCCGTTGCCCCTGATTCCCGTTGTCCCTGCTTCCGCGCCTCACGTTGCCCCTGATACGCGAGCCCGCCAGCTGTCTGCAGACGGCCCAGAGCGCTGGTCATGACGTCGACCCCCCAGGAGGTCTGGACCCTTGCGTCTCATCCCGAGTCGGGTTCTGACGGCCCCGGGGCCCGGTGAGGGCCCCTCGGGGCTGAAAATCGCGAAACGCCACCCTTCGGTGGCAACTCCTAAAAGGCCCGCCAGCCCATCTTGTCGGCTCTCGCGAATCGACGCTGTATCGGCGCTGAATCGACGCTTATCGACGCTCCTCGGCGCTAAATCGACCCGCCGCGACGCCAGCCGACGCTAAATCGGCGCTATCTCATCGACTTCCAGACGCCCATCGGCGCCAGTCGACGCTAATCGACGGAATTGAAAGGGCACACCAGGCTCCCATGATTTACTACAAGAAGGTCGGGCATATCCTCCTACAGGGGAATTCTGGACGAGAAAAGAAGCAACAACATATTCAAAAATTGTCGAAAAGTGCAGACTCTTCATGAAGAGGGACATGCCCGACTTCACGCTGACCGACGCCAATCAACGGACTTGAGAGGGCACACTGGGCTCCCATGATTTGAGCAGGGACCGACCGTCCTGGCATTCCTGTAGTCCTACCACGAAATGTTCTTAGAACTCAAAAATGTTCTAATAACAACAACAATGTTCTTAGAACATCGACCCGATGTGTTAAAACCAACACAGTCCCAGCCAGAAATGCTCTAAGAAGATGTCGTGGAAACACCAAAAGAGGCTCTTAGAACACTGTTGGGTAGGGCGATCGGCGAGCCAGGACGCTTCGCCACTGCTTGATATAGCCCCGTCCGAAGTGCAGTCGCCGCTCCTCCTGCTCCTCCTCCTCCTCCTCCTCCTCCTCCTCCTCCGATCCTTCCGCCGCCGTCGCTGCACGACCCGAGGGGGCTCCGCGGCCGGCCCACGGGCGCCGGCCGCGCGGCCGCGCGGCCTCGAAGCAGGTCGCGCCCCCCCGCGGCGCCGGAGCCGCGCCTGGGGAGCTCAGGCAGGGACCGGTACTCGGACGAGCTCGCTTCCAGCAAACGACGACAAGGCCCCAGGAGGCTCCCAAGAGGTCCCCGAGAGGTCCCAACAGGCCCCCAAGAGGCCACAAAGCGGCCCCCAAGAGGCCTCAGAACTGCCTCCAAGAGGCCCCCGAGAGGCCGCCCACGAGATCCCAACGAACATCCACAACGCTCCTCGGGTGCCCCTCGAAGGAGAGCCGCCGAGCATGCTGGGCAGGCCGAGCATGCTGGGCTGGCACGCTGGCACGATACCGCTGCTCCCCGGATACTCTCCCGGAGCGCATTCGGACAAGGATTGGCAGACAAAGCCGGCCGTGGCGACGAAGGCCTCCCAGGGGGGGCTCCCTCTGTGAAAGAATCCGAAGCTCGGAGAGAAGAGCAGCAGGAGGCCGTCCAAAGGCCCTTCGAGGGAGCTCTGGAAGCCCCCGGAATGAGCTTCCGGAGGAGCTTCTGGAGAGCTTCCGGGCATGCGAAGGGGGAACGCTCAGAAAAGGTCTCTCGGGACAGACTTCTGGTTCAAACAGGGTGTCCCAAGAGGCCCAGAAAGAAGAACACAAAGGAAGGGTACCTAACGGTATGGGTACCAGTGGAGGTCGACGACTTGGGGGGGCGATACGTGGGGAGGGGAGAGAGGCGTACTTCTCGGACCCCAGAGGCCCCCTTTGGGGCCCTAAAGGACGCCTTCAGGGGCCCATCAGGGCCCCTTTTTCGACAGCCCTCGCTGCCCCCCCCATTCATCGCCCCCCCCATTACGCGACGCCCAATACGACTACACGCAAGAGCGACCCTAGGTGAGACTGACCTCTGGTGCGCGGCTTTTTGGGGGGCGCGGGGGGGATCGAACGCGAGCGCGCAAGACGCTGCTATCGCACAGCACTCTGCCATCTGGAGGCCCCAATGTGCAGGGTACCACAAGTAACTCCGGCGAAACGTCACTCTTACGCGTTTCGGTAGCGTCCAAGAGGGGGGCGTCCAAGAAGGGTGTGTGCAAATCAGGGCCCGAAGCATGTGCGCGGACCAGGGGGGGGCAGGCCAGGGAACGCGTTGAAATAACAAGTGGGGTCGTGTAATCTGGGGAGGTGTCATGGCCCCCGCCACGATATCCCCCTCTAGTCATCACCCCCTCTTGTAGAAGAAGAACAGCTGCATAAACATATACTTTTGGCGCTCCGACCGGATTTCTTGGATCCGCGCCGGACCCCCCTCCATGGCGCGCGGAGCGAACAAGGGGCGGCGCCGGAGGCGGAGGCGCCGCCGGGGAGTGCCCAGCGCGGATCCAAGAAATCCGCGCAAAGCGCCGAAAGTTGATGTCTATGGCGTTTTTCCGTCTTCGATAGTCATCGCCCCCCTCTTGGCCGCGCCAGAGCGCAGACTCGGCCCGTATAGTAAGGATGCGCGATAAGGATGCAAGGGCCTTGAACGCCCATTTCGAAGCTCTTCGAGCGGGGCGCGGAACACGAAACCTGCCAGGGATGATGGGCCGAGGAGGCAAGGACGCAATGGTGCCCCTGGGAAGGTCGCCCATCTTTACTATGCGGGTTGACTGAATCGAGGCTTCCTAGATGGGGTCCAAGTGGATGGGGTCGGAGGATCGCGCGGCATCGCCGATGCATCGGCGATGTATCGGCGATGCATCGGCGATTCACCGGTGATGCATTGTCGACGTGGGTGATGCATCGGCGACCTCGGCGTGGACGAAATCGGGCTCCACATCGAGCCGCATCGACGATGCATCGGCGATGCGGTCCGATCCCCCGACCCCATCTGCTCGGGCCCACCTAGGAGGCCTAGACTGAAGCCGACCAGAATCTTTTCCTCCTCTTGCGCGCCGGGGCGGCGAGGCCGCGGGACCCAGGCGGCGCCGTGCGCCCCGCCCTCCGCGGCCTCCAGCGCCCCGCGGCCCCCCAGGGGGCCGCTGGGGAGCCTCGGGCCGCCTGAGGGCGCGCCGAAAGCCGCCCAGAGGCCGCCATCGTCAAGGGTCCTAGCGGCGCGCGGGCGTCGTTGTCGTCGTCGTCGTCGTCGACGACGTCGTCGTCGTCGTCGTCGGCGGCGGCGGCGCCGTCGTCGTCGTCGGCGCCGCCTCCGTCGTCGTGGTCGTCGTCGTCGTCGTCGTTTTCGCCGTCGTCGCCGTCGTCGTCGGCGGCGTCGGCGCGGCGGCGGCGGCGGCGTCGTCGTCGTCGTCGTCGGCGTCGGCGTCGGCGTTGGCGCCGAAGCCGTCGCCGCTGGGGCCACGCCCAGA